AGGCCCGAAACGTCAGCCTTTCTGCTCCTATGATGCTGCTTGGCCTGCTGTGTTCATCCAGCTCTGCACCTTGTTGTCTCGGATTCTCCAGCATCTGCAGTTCCTACTATCTATGATTTAATTGAATGTTGGTGAAACAAGCTGGAGGGGCTAAATGTACATCATCCTATTCCTATGTCACAATACTCCCAGTGCAAACATCTCATCGCAAGCACTCAATAGGCATTAGAACCTTGCCCCAGTGATGAATACAGGTAGGGGAGAAGGCTGTTCATCCCCTTAAACCTATGCTGCCATTCAATCAGATCATGGTGGAGTTTCACTTTACTCACATCCCTTGATACTTCAAACTAATCAATATCCTCTTAACATTTTCTGCTCAACTGGAAAAAGTCCTGGTATCTCAGAGCTCCAGACAGGACTGTAATCTCACATCCCTGATAATTCCTGGGAGTGCATGATTGCATTAATACTATTTGTACAATAGAGTATGCAAATTCTCTGTTAGGTTTTACTTGGAAATCTTATTTAAATTCTGCAGAATCACTATTAAAGGCTCTTTGATAAGGGAACTAAAGATATTTATACTTTAACAAGGTTATCAACTGTGGTTTGTCTACAAGTCACAAGGTTAGGAATTTCCACTCAAGGACTTGAGCACAGACATCCACACTGGAACACTGAGTGAGGACTGCACTTGTCAAGATGCATCATCTCTTATAAGACCATAAAATACAGGAGCAGAAGTAGGCCATTCAGCCCATCGAGTCTTGTTCTGCCATTCAATGAGACCATGACTAATCTGTTAACCCTTAACTCCATTTTTCTGCTTTATCCCAATAACCCTCAATTCCTGATTAAAAATCTGTCTATCTCAGCCTTGAAAAAAAAACTTAACGACACAGCCTCAATAGCCCTCTGCAGTAAAGAATTCCACCGATTCACTATCCTATTACAGAAGAAATTTATCTTCATCTCAGTCTTAAATCTCATCGTCACAGAGGCCTATTGCACAGAAAATGGCCCAGGACTGCCTCCAATGCCAGTATATCTCTCCTTAGATAAGGCACCCAAAACTGTTCCTTGTATTTCTGCCATGGTCTGGCTAGAGCTTTGTATAATTTTTGCAAACCTCCCTACTTTTATAATCCATTTCCTTTGAAATAAAGTTCAACATTCCACTGGTTGTTATTAATGGTTCACTGAATATGAACACAAATTTTTCATGATTCATAGATGAGGACTCGCAAATCCCTCTGTTCCGCAGCTTCCTGCGGTCCTTTTTTTCATTTAAATAACATGTTACAAGGAGAATCATAGAACACTTAAAGGGAGGAAGGAGACCATTTAGCTCATCAATGTCACACTAACCCTCTGAAGAGCATCCCACCCCGATTTACCCCCCTTCCCTACTCCTGTAACCCCACATTTCCCGTGGCTAATCTGCCTCACCTGCACATCCCTGGACACAGTGGGCAACTTAGCATGGCCAATCCACCCAACCTGCACATCTTCGGATGGTGGGAGGGAACCACAGCACCCAGAGAAAACCCACGCAGACACAGGGAGAATGTCAAACTCCACACAGATAACGCTGAGGCTGGAATCAAACCTGGTTCCCTGGCACTGTGAGGCAGCAGTGCTAACCACTGAGCCAACATGCTCAATCTGCCCCTCCCCCAACCAGTGGTTGGGAGTGATCCTAGTTTTAGTTTGAAGGGAAGTAATCTCAGTGCTTTGCCAATAGTTATCCCTCAGTCAACATCTCTAATTCAGCAGGACTGACAGCAAACTCAGTGTTAATGTTTCAAGTCAATAACCTTTCAATAGAATTGGATGACTTCAGGGATAAGTAGTCTTTAAGGAAATTCAGAGCCAGGGGAACAAACACAATGGAATGTTTGTCATAATACTGGTTAAATGACAAGAGGAGGTGATAATGAGAAAGTCATTAATGCCACAAAACAAGGGAAGAAATTGCTGAAGAAACTCAGCAGGTCTGGCAGCATCAATGGAGACAGAAACGGACTTAGAACTGTGGATGCTTTAAATCAGAAACAAAAACAAAGTTGTTGGAAAAGCTCAGCAGGTCTGGCAGCGTCCGTAAAGGAAAAATCAGAGTTAACGTTTCGGGTCCGGTGACCCTTCCTCAGAACTGATGGTGGCTGGGAAAACGTCAGTTTATATGCAGAGAAAAGGGAGGGGGATGGGGTAGGGAGTAAACGATAGGATAGAGCCTAAAGAGAGAGAAGAGCAAAAGCAAAGTTGTTGGAAAAGCTCAGGTCTGAGAACTCAGAACTGAGGAAGGGTCACCGGACCCGAAACGTTAACTCTGTTATTTACTTCACAGATGCTGCCAGACCTGCTGAGTTTTTCCAGCAACTGTTTTTGTTCTTGACTTACAGCTTCTGCAGTTCTTTTGGTTTTTATGAGAGAGAAGAGCAGTTGGATAGACAAAGCAGTTGATACGATCTGCCTGGGAGGGTGAATAGTTTTAAGGGGACTATTAGTGACTAACAACAAGTGATGTGTAATGGCAGGCTATGTGATAACAAGGCCTGGTGTGTGGGGTAGGGGGCTGGGACATGTGAGAGTTCAGGCCCTAAAATTATTGAACTCGATATGGAGTTGGGAGGGCTGCAGGGTCCCCAAGCGGAAAATGAGGTGTTGTTCCTCCAGCTTGCGTTGAACTTCGCTGGAACACTGCAGCAAGCCAGAGACAGAGATGTTGGCCAAGGAACAGGGTGGTGTGTTAAAGTGGCAGGCAACAGGTTGTTCAGGGTCTTTTTTGTGAGCAGAACATAGATATTCTGCAAAGAGGTCACCCAGTCTACACTTCGTTTCCCAACGTATAGGAGACCACATTGTGAACAGCAAATGCAGTAGACTAGATTCTGGGAAGTGCAGGTGAAGTGTTGCTTCACCTGGAAGGTATGTTTGGGCCCTTGGAAACTGGGGAGGAAGGAAGTAAATGGGCAGGTGTTATACCTTCGCCGGTTACAGGGGAAGGTGCCATAGGGCTGTGGGGTGGTGTTGGGGAATAAGTAGCCGATCTTGGTGGGCCTAAAGACCTGTTCCTGTGCTGTATTGAATTTTATTGTATACTTAATCTAGAATTAAGAGTTCTAATGATGACCATGAAATCATTGTTGTTTAAAATCGGGAAAATCCACCCGGTTCATTAATGTCCTTTAAGGAAGGAAACTGCCATCCTTACCAGGTATGGCCTGCAACTGTCTCCAGACTCTCAGAAATGTGGTTGACTTTTAACTGCCCTCTGGGATGGGCACTAAATGCTGGCCTCGCCAGCAATGCCCTCATCCCAAGAAAGAATTTTTAAGAAGTCCAGAAAAGGTTCACTCAGCCGATACCAGGTATGAAGAGACTGCCTTACAAGGAGAGGTTGAGTAGATTGGACCTGCACTTACGACAGGGTAGATGTGGAAAGGTTATTTCCCTTTGTGCACGTGGCATAAACACCGAATGAGGGAGCCAAAAGAACAGAGAAATATTCCAGTGGAGTGACTCCTGCATGACCACATAAAGCCAAGACTGGACTTGCCTGTGATTCCTCCCAAGGTTAAACAGCCCAACAATCACCTGTCCAGACAGTCACCCACGCAGACTGGCATTCTTGGCTGAGGGAGTGGGCTGCTGTGAAAATGGAACTCGCTGTATGAGTCAGGAGACATAGCAGGAGCATGGGGAGAACCCGGAAGGAGTTGAAAACAAGGCCAGAGGTACCTGAATCTTTCGAGCATATTGTCTCTTGTTAGTCTGCTCCTCCAGCTTCATGCTGTATAATTTAGCTCGCAACATCTGCATTGCTTTTTCTCGATTTTTCAGCTGGGACCTTTCCTGCTGGCATTCTGCTGCTACACCTGCCAAGCAATAGAATGAAACAGAATTAGAATGAATGCATTCACATTTCACGATCCCAAAGTAGCCAATTAAATACATTTAGTTAATATAATTATCATCATAATGTAGGAAGCTTGACAGACAATTCTTATTAGAAATTGATCCAATGAATATCAATTAATATTCCCAACTCAGTGACCATACCCATTGAGGACTTTTAAGGCTCCTCCTTCACCTCGCAACCTGAGCAAAGGATGCAATGATTACTTTGACACAGTCAGGATCCTCCAGTAACTGCAAATTAAAGTGGACCCACCGTACTACAGGTGTAAACTTGGGCGAGAACAAGGGACTGCCGTTACCTGTTGGGATGTGCAGAATGCGAACCGCACTGTCCGTTGTGTTCACATGCTGACCGCCGGCACCACTTGCACGTTTTGTTTCTATCCGCAGATCCTTGGAGTTGATGGTCATATCAATCTGATAGCAAAAGTACTGATTTATCAGACAAGCAAAGGCATGTATTATATCCATTAGTCTATCCAATTACTAATAAAGTCATACAGTCATACAGCACACAAACAGACCCTTCAGTCCAACCAGTCCATGACGATCATAATCCCAAACTAAACTAGTCCCACCTGTCTGCGCTTGGCCCATATCCCTCCAAACATTTTCAATTCATGTACTTATTTAAATATCTGCTAAATGTTACAACTGTACCTGCATCCACCACTTACTCTGGAAGCTCATTCCACCATGAGAAGCTCTGTAAAAATGAACTCTATCCAGCAAATATCCACAGTTTATCCAATTCCAGCCTCCTGCACATCTCCAATGTCCTCAGTCTCTCTACTGGAGGCTGTGCCCTCAGATGTCCAGGCTCCAATATATTCACCACACCACTCTGCCTCTCTCTCCCCTCCTTTTTGACTCAGATTAAAATCTCTCTAGATAAGGTGATACATCCTGTGGCCAAATCCACATCTGAGGATATCAAGAATCAGACACTTGTGTGAGGATGAAGTCACATATGGGAAACAAAGGATAAGTACTATCACTTCATGTTTTGCAAGACGATTTCTGATACATCCAGACTTTTAATAAACTGAATTTAAATTCTCAAGCAGGTTAGATTTGAACTAGGTCAGTAAAAGAACCATTACACAACTGGAAAACATATTCCAGATTTACACTGTTCGATAGGACAGTATGGAGGGAGCTTCAATCTGTCTCTGCCCTGGGAGTGTTTGATGGGGACAGTGTCAAATGATTAGGATGGTGTCAAAGGACCTCCATTCTGAATCTAACCACATGCTGTATCTGTCCTGGGAACGATTGAGGGGAAAGTGTAGGAGGAGCTTTACTCTGTATCTAACCCCATATTATAACTGTCCTACAGGGGTTTAGCAGCAGCAATGTCAAGCGAGCTTTAGTCTGTATCTAATCTGTGTTATAGCTGCCTTGGGAGTGTTTGACAGGGAGTGTAACTTTCTCAATATCTAATCCCATATTGTACCAGTCTGAGAGTGTTTGATGGGGACTGTATAGAACAGCCGGTGCTGTTCTTGTCTATGCAGTGACTGAGGGGACAATGTAGAGGTAGCTTTAATCTGTATATAATCCTGTGTTATACCTGCATTGGGACAGTTTGATGGAGACAATATAGAGAGAGCTTTACACTGTATCTAACCATGAGCTGTACCTGCCTTGGAGTGTTTGATAAGGAATGTAAAGGGAATTTTACTTGTAGCTAACCCTGTGCTATACTTGTCCTGCAAATGACTGAGGGGACAGTGCAGATAGAGCTTTACTCTGTATATAACCCTGTGCTGTACTTTCCTTGAAAGTGATTGCTGAGGACAGTGTCAAGGGAGCTTTCCTCTGTATCTCACCTGTGCTGTACCTGTCCTGGGTGTGTTTAATGGGAGCAATGTCAAGGGAGCTTTTCTCTGGATCTAACCCTCCGAGGCCTTAGTGCAGCATTAAGTCAGGCATTAAAGCAGAAAATGTTGGAAATACTCAGCAGATGTGTCAGCATTTGTGCAGAGACAGACAGACAGACAGACAGAGACAGACAGAGGCAGAGACAGAGACAGTTAACATTTCAGGAAGTGACCTTCCATCAGAACTAGCCTTCTGTACTCTCCCAACCTCAACTATGTCACAAATGGTGGCGTGCCTTCAGTTCCCTAGGTTTTACAACTCCTTCCCTAAAGCTGCCCACCTCTAAGACAATCAAACCTTTGGTCAGTCCTTTGGGTGGCTGTCAGTTTGGTCATCATTTGGTTCCAGAAGATCATTTGCTCAGAAGATTGCGGGTACCTCAGTGGGCTGCGGTAGGATGGCCACGGTCATCGTGCTGGTGTGAGTCCTGCCTTGTTTTTCAGTTTTGGGAATCCGCTGAACTCTGTGCACTCCCCCCTCATACTTCATGTGCTTGTAGGTCTCCGGGCCACTCACACTAGCTACAGCGTGACGTAAACCCCCTGTGAAGTGAAAAAACAACTTCTAATACAAGCTTACAGGAACTGTAAAACAATAACACCACAACTGCAGACATAGGCCATTCAGCCCATCAAGTCATCTCTGAAATTCGGCCCATCAAGTCCCTCTGCCCTTCATTGAGATCATGGCTGACCTGATAATTCCCAATTCTACTTTCCTATCTTATCCCCATAACCCTTGATTCCTTTACTGATTAAAAATCTATTTCAACTTTGAATATATTTAATGACCCAGCCTCCTGCAGCCCTTTGCAGTAAAGAAGTCCACAGATTCACCACCCTTTGAGAGAAGAAATTCTTCTTCCTCTCTGTCTAAATTAGCCACGATGTGGAGGCGCTGGTGTTGGACTGGGATGGACAAAGTCAGAAGCCACACGACACCAGGTTATAGTCCAACAGGTTTATCTGATATCACAAACTTTCAGAGCACTACTTCTTCATCAGGTGAAATTCACTGACGATGGAGCAGCACTCCGAAAGCTTGAGATACCAGATAAACCTGTTGAGCTATAACCTGGTGTTGTGTGACTTCTGACTCTAATGTCTTAAAGATTACCTTTAACACTAGCTTACGGAAACAGTAAAACATACTAAATTTTTATTTTCTTTATTCATTCACAGGATGAGGGCATCACTGGCCAAGCAGCATTTATTGCCTACAGGGCAGTTAAGAGTCAACCACATTGCTGTGGGTCTGGAGTCACATGTAGGCCATACCAGGTAAGGATGGCAGTTTCCTTCCCTAAAGGACATTAGTGAACCAAATGGGTTTTTCCCAACAATCAGATTTATGGTCATTATTAGACTCAATTCCAGATATTTTATTGAATTCAAATTCTACCATCTGTCATGGTGGGATTTGAAACCGGGTCCCCAGAATATTATCTGGATCTCTGGATCAATAGTTCAATGATAATACCACTAGGCCATCGCCTCTCTGATTCGCCATGGCCTGTCCCTTCCCATTTTGTAACTTCCACCAGCCCTCAATCCTGCAGGATCACTGTACTCTTCCAATTCTGGACTCTTGAGCATCTCTCCAACCCCCAAACCCGATTTTCATCACTTCACCATTGCTCTGGAGCTCACTCCCTAAATCTCTACATTTCTCTGTTTGCTTCCAAATCCACCTCTGAGCTCAAACTTCTAGTCACTTCATCTGATGGATTATTATGGAACTCAGTGACAAATCCACTCCTGTATGATGCCTTTAGATCTTATACTACATTAAGGGTGCTACATATATGCAAGTATTAAAGCAAAAATCTTGAAAATGCAGGAAATCTGTAATAAAAACAAAGTACTGGGAATACTCAGCAGGTCTTGCAGTATCTGTGGAGAGAGAAATAGGGGTAATGTTTCAGGACTGTGTGCTTAGTGACTTGACTCAAAAGGTTCACTCCATTTCTCTCTACAAATACTGCCAGACCTACTGACTTCCTCAGCACTTATTACTTAAATACAAATTCTTGTTCTTGTACCATATTCTTTAGCCAACAAGCAGATTGATTAAAATGGGGTATTTGCAGTAAACCACAATGAAGGAGCATAGAGATCTCAGAAAGCTGTATGGCTGGAAGAGATCACAGAGTCAGGGAGATAGGAGACTCCTTATCTCTGTAATGTTTTTCAGTTCTAAAAGCTTCTGAGGTCTCAGTGCTCCGTCAACAAGGCCATGCAGAGAATGTAAGGTTCTGTTGTCGTTTAATACTTCCACAGTTGTGAGCAGTGTTGGTGTAACCAGCACTTGTTACCCTTGGGAAGGTGGTGGTGAGCTTCCTTCTTGAACTGCATGCATACCGAGATCACTGTGGCAGTACTCCAGAACTTCAAACTGCCAGTGTTTGTAGGATGCGTAGTTCTGGTACATTTCGAACATTTCAGCGGTAAACAACATGGCTTCCTGTCCCCCGACTCCTGCAGTCACCTCCAGAATCAGATCATTATTGTCTGCTTCTTCAGGGGGGATCAGGAGTGAAATTATCTGAAATGAAGAGGGTTGGGGTTTGGGGGGGGTGTGGGGGGTTGGTTGGAGGACAGAAGTGAAAGAAAAGCAAAGTTTCAACAAAATTTGAAAACTAACTTCACTGGCTATAGATGGCGAGGCCTGGACATCTAAACACTTTCCCCGTTGTAACCTTTGGAGGCAAATGCAGAATCCTTCTCCATCATCGTGACTCTTTCCAATATTGCCTCCAGCCACGAAGGACCCCAAGCACGGTACCAACCCTATTCCTCTCTTCCTCAGTATATTAGCTTGGCCATGCTGGCAGCATTCCTGGCACTGGGTCAGAAAGCACAAGTCGGACGCCAATGGAGGTTGAGCTCTCACTGTAGCTTTAAAGAACCTGACAGCCATGCTCAGTTGAGCTATTAAATCAAAGGCACAATGGGGGAGACAGTCCTACAGCCTTAATATAAATTGGACTAATAACCGAGGTTAATGGTCTGGCAGCATAGGTTCAAATTCCATCTCAGCAGCTATTTGATTAAAATCTGAAATATAAAACATGTTTGAGTAACAGTGACGAGGAGCAGAAAAAAGAAGTCTCATTTCCTTTAGAGAAGGGAACTTGCTGTCCTTACCCAGTTTGGATTACATGAGAGTTCTGACACACAGCAATGTACTTCATTCGCAACTTCCCTCTGAAATGGCTTAGCAAGCCACTCAGCTCACAGGCAAAAGAACATCCCATATTACTCTAAGGTGAGAATGGAGCACTATCTGGCATTCTCTCTCAAACAGCCGAATTATACTATTTGATTCTACTGGATCTTGCCATATGCAACATTGGTGTGAATGATCAATGATATTGGACTGAGGGAGAAGCTGGAATTATTCTTCTTAAAACAGGGGAGATTAAAGTGAGTGTGTAAAATGTAAAGGTGTTTTGTTAGAATACAGAGGGACGAACTGTTCCCAATGGCAGGAGGGTCAGTAACCTGAGGACACATATTTAAGGTAATTGGTGAAAAAACCAGAGGAGATGACATTATTTTACTCAGCGAGATGTTGTGATCTGGAATGTTCTCCCTGAAAGGGCAGTGGGAGCAGATTCAATCAAAACATTCGAACGGGAACTTAAAATACTTAAAATAATGCTTGCCAGATTTTAGAGAAAGGGGAGTTCAACTCTTTGGGTAATTCTTTCAAAAAACTAACAAAGGCATAATTGGGCAAACGGCCTTCTGCAACTGAGTTCTGAGGAAGGGTCACTGGACCCGAAACGTTAACTCTGTTTTTCCCTTCACAGATGCTGCCAGACCTGCTGAGCTTTTCCAGCAATTTCTGTTTTGTTTCCTGATTTACTGCATCCACAGTTCTTTCATTTTTTATTTTGATCTGTGATATGGTCCTGATTTCTGACACCAACTCCTTCAACCTGGGCTGAGTTTGTGAATTTCTTCCTACTCGATCGCCAACATTATCTACTTCCGACTGTATTACATAGCTCATTTCCAACCCCTCCCCCAGCTCAGCTACAGTTGAAACCCTTATCCAAGTCTTCAGATAAGGTGTCTTCCTTTTTGAGTCCCTTGTTGCCTTTCCTGTCTTATCCCGAGAATCTGAGATGAAGAAGTGTTGGAAGTGGCAGTTTTGACAAACCAACATTTCTCTCTTATTTCCTGATTCTCACTTTTCCAGTAATCTAACACATTCCTGTTTGGTTATTACCTTGGACTTTAGAGTGTGGATGGTTTCCAGACATGAACTCTCTTCGCTTTCAGCAAGTCTCTTCAAATCAATATCCTCATCTGTAATAAAGATTCTGCACATTATTTTCCTGTCTCAGACATCACTGAGAGTTAAAGACATAGTGATAGTTCAACAGAAGCTCACTGTACTTCAACCATGTGGACAGGGGCAGTAATGGCCTAGCAAGTCACTCAGTTCAAAGGAAACAAGGGACTGACAATAAAAGCTGGCCAACCAGCGACACCCAAGTTCCACATGTGACTAAACAAAAAAACACATTGCTGCGTGTGGGAACTTGCTGTGCGCAAATTGGCTCTGGTTCTCCAACCTTACAACACTTTAAAAGTGCTTTTTTGGTTACAAAATGTTTTGGAAACACAAAAGTAGTTATATAAATACAAGCCAATCTTTCACAAACTGTGATCACAGGTAGAATTGTAGGTGGTTGTATGATCAGAACATCAGGATTAGACATGATCTCTCCCTGGTGTCATTTGCAGTCAGCTGGAAGACTTTGCTGGGGAAGTGGGGCAAGGGCAGAAATTGTTCAGGACGCATTATAAACGGCTTTACGTGTAATACAAGCCTGGAAGCACGGTGAATAAAGTGTCTCCCTCACCTTTTAGCAGTGTCTCAATGTCCTGCAACTCCTGCATTTTCAGCCTCAGCTGCTGAAGTTCCATTACCACCGGATCCAGCTCAGTCACTCTCCTCCTCAGCAGCCTTGTCCTTTCCCCCTCCACTTCTCCTGGGGAAGGCTCAGTGGAATTAAGCCTCTGCACAGACTCCTCATACTCCTGTTCCAGCTTCCTCAGGTAGTCCTGCAGCGAGCTCTGCGCAAACAGTCTTTCCACCACTTCTGTGCTGGCCACGTAGGCACGCACGTGCTTTGGTGTGCCAGCAAGGAGGATGGCAGAGGGAGGCCAGCGAAATCCAGGTTGGGCAATCTGGCAGAAACATCTCCTGGGGCATGGGAATGCAGGCTTCACAAGGCAGCTCAGTCTGAGTGTTTGCCTGACAGTGGCATTCAGAGTGATGAGGAGAGTCCGACACACAAAGAGCATGTTCCGTACACAGGGCTGCCCGTCTCTGCAATGGCACGGTTGACAAATAATGGTCTTGTTCTACAATCTACCAAGAAGATTCCAATCAAGAATAATTCTTTGAGATTTAAAAGCTACAAGACCAAAAATACACACAAACATGGTTAACCCACAAAAATAAGTCTAATTCCTCTCACTAGCCTCTGCGCTCCTGATATGTTGCAAGAGACCTGTTCAAAGGAAACACACTTGAATGCCATTGAACAAAATGAACCAAAGAATGAGGCATTAAAATGAGGCTGTATCTGCTTTCTCAAATCGAAGGAAAAGAATCATAGCTCGATGAAGAGGAGCAAGGAAGTTTTCCCTGGTGGCCTCAATGAACTAACTTCAGTAAAACAGATGATCTCGTCGTTTATCTAATTACTGTTTGCAGGAACTTACAGTGCACATTAAACAATAACTTACAGCAGTAATTATTCTTCAAAACTTTCCACTGTTTGCAAAGTGTTTGCGATTTTCTGAGGATACAATTATTACAGAAATGCAAGCTGTTATTTTTAAAGCAAGAGTCCACAAACAGCAATGAAGCAAATCACCATAATAAATCACTTGATAGTAAAACCAATAATAATTGATAATTGGGGGCTTAGGCCTGAATGGAAAAACATCTGACTCATTAAAAATTATAAGGCTGGAAATACTCAGCAGATGAAGACAGTTTAGACAAAACAAACTTGCATTGATGGCTCAATAGTAGAATTTGTACCTAGGCTCTTATGACATAGTGATATTGTCATTAGTTCTAGTTCAAGTCTCATCTAGACCTTCCATGACTACTAACATCCTGAAATGTTTTACAGCCAATGAGGTGTCACTGAATTGAGATCTTGGGTTAGATGGTGACTTTGTGGTAACGTTACTAGGCTAGTTATCAGGACGCCCAGCCTAATGGCTCAAAAATTATAACAGTATTTGGTCAAATCCAAATTTCATTAATAAATCTGGATGGATGACCATGATGACTACAACAGATCATCAATGTCTTTTACAGAAAGAAATTTGCCATCCTTGCTTAGTTTGGCCTATATGCAAATCCCGATGCACAGTGTAGTAGTTGACTCTTAACTGCCTCTGAAATAGCTGAGTAAACCACTCTGTTCGAGGGGTCTGACAGAATAGATAGGGGGTAACTGTTGCTGAATTGATCAAGGACCAGAGAGTACAGATTTAAGATAATCAGCAAAAGATGCAGTCACAACATGAGCTGAAGTTTTTTTTTAAACACAGCATGGGTTTAGTATCCTGGAATGTACCAACTAAAAGTATGGTGGAGGCAGGTTGAATGGATGGATTCAAGAGGGAACTGGACCATTTCAAGAAAGGGAAAATGTGCAGGTCTATGGGGAAACAGCACTGACTGAGTTGCTCTCAGTGGCACAATGGTCTCTTTCTGTGCTGTTGGACAGTAGTCTTGTGCACAGAGTAAGCATCTGTCTTTGTGATGTAGGCTGAGGGATAAATATTGCCCAGCACACCGAGGAGATCTGATTGGCTCTTCTTTAAAATTCACCAACAATCCTTAGACAGTACTTCCCAAAATCCAGCAAAAATTTCCATCTGGAAGGTCAAGGGCAGCAGATACATAGGAATACCACCATCAGCAAGTTGCCCTCCAAGCCACTCAACATCCTGATTTTATTTGATTTCTTTCTTTATTGTTATGTGTGTTTTGTTATAAAATACAGTGAAAAGTGTTCTATAGTGTCACCACTCTCCAGCACCATCTTAAAACACAGAAAAATAAACCAAAACGATACAAAGGCAGGAAAGTAAAGAAATAAAGTTCAACTTTACAGTCCTTCTTGTTAAGTGCTCAGCCATGGGCCTGGAGAGGCCAGACTGTTGCTGGGTCAAAATCCTGGAATTCCCTCCCTAAGAGACACTGCGGGTGGAACTACAGGACATGGACTGGAGCTGTTCAAGAAGGCAGCTCAAGGGCAACTAGGCACAGGAAATAAATGTTGGCCCAGCCAGCGATACCCACGTTTCATAACTGAAAATAAAATAGTGCAGTAGAATCCTTCACTTCCACCACCCGAGTGGGTCCTCAGTATAACATTGCATCCAAAAGGCTACACGAACAGCAAAGCCGCACTCCCTCAAAACTGCAGTGGATCCTGGATTGGAATTCAGGGCCCTCTGACTCAGGGTGGCAAACAATGCTTACCCGGTGAGCCGAACTAATGCTGCACTGGAGATATATAAACGCACACGGTCTACCTCCTCCACACAGAGGTAGTGTTCTGCATAAGGGTCACTAGCACCGGTGCTCTGGCCTGGCCTATCCCAGGCAGCACCTACCTCACCGTACACCGCGATCTCTGGAAAGTCTACTGCCTACGCGGGGTATAGACCACTTTCGCAGCCGCGGGGCATTCTGGGTAATACCACCGCCATGCTCGCCACTATTTCCGCTTTCCATCAGGCTTAAGAAAACCGAAATAATTACTCCGACCTAAATTTGATTTCAAATTGGTACGTATTTATATAAGATGACAGGCTTGGAAACCTGCTATTTTATCACTTGTGATGTAATCTAACGAAGCACGTGTGCGGAAGTAATCGAATAATTAAAGATATTAACATTTTCCAAAGCCGGAAGTGCTGGAGGAGTCTGTGGAGAGAGAAACAAAAGTCAGTGTTTCGAGTCCGGTATGACTCTTCTTCGGAAGAAGATGCGGCTCCGAAGAAAATTATATTGGGCAGGAAACATTAATTCTTGTTTCTGTCTGTATTGATGCTGCCAGACCTACTGAGTTTCTCCAGCATTGTCTCTATTTGTATTTCAGATTTCCAGACTCCGCAGAATTTGGCTTTGATTTTATGATTAAGTTCTTATTTCTATTAAGGATTGCTTAAGTAGACTTTTACTGAGTGCTGTGGGAGTTAAAGGTAACAAAGCAGCTCGGGATAAAAGCGGAAATATTTGAAATTCTCAACCAAAGTGGACGGATAACTCCTGCCGCCATTGATTGGTTCATGGACGCATGACGCAGAAATCACGTGTTCTGCGTCATCGCCACGTGATGGGTTTTCTCGCGATATTGCAGATGGGGAAACTCTGGTTTCTTAGTTACCTTGTAAAACATTGATATACTTTAAAACAGTCCATGGATAGGCTTGTTATTAAAATTATGTGTTCAGCGGTGATCACGAGCTGATGCTGGAAAATGCTTTTGACTGGAGGTTGAATGTCCAGAGCTCTGCTCTCTTACCCTTTCAGTGTCTGGGAACAAAACTGATTCTACCAAGTGAGCACCTAGAATGATTGCAATAAACCTGATGGATCTTCTACAGACTCTTCTACTGGACTCGAAACGTTGACTCTGCTTTCTCTCAACAGATACTGTCAGACCTGCCGAGTTTCTCCACTTTCTGCTTTTGATTCTGATTTCAGGCATCCGCAGTTCTGTGTTTTACTTTAGAGTCTATTCACTGATTTGTTCAAAGATGGTAAGCTACAAAGCAAGAATAAAAACATAAGTTGCTGAAAAAGCTCAGCAGGTCTGGCAGCATCTGTGAAGAAAAAAAATCAGGGTTAACGTTTCGCGTCCGGTGACCCTTCCTCAGAACTTTCGGCTTTTAAGCTACTGATCAAAATATATTAAGGGGAAGGGGGAAGATCTGTGAATGGGACATTCTTTAAAAAAAAGACTTCGGCCGGAGACCCCAGTACAAGAGAGACAGAAAAAATGGGGTCTTTCCCAGGGGATGCAGAAATGGTGGTCGTCTTGTTGAGGGACAGAGCAGTTAGTTCTAGTGATCTCGAAGAGTTCCCGTGCGAATGAGCAGTTCAGGTAATCTCGCAGCTCGTTCGCCGGTGCGAGGATGAGACCCGTTGTGGTCATTCGGGAATTTGATTAATGAGTAGTGAGCCTCATCATCCAACTGTTCCGAGATTGAGATCCTGAAGTCATTTTGAAACTACTACACATCAGGTTGGCTTTGAATAATTATGTTTCGATAGATGAGGTAAGGGTTAATAAATTGGTGCAGTTCTACAACTCACCGCTCTGTAGCGCCATGCTTGTGAAGTTGAAGGGGCAATTGAAACGAAACTAGTTGAAACTGTGTGCTCACAACAAAAAGGATATTTGATGAGTGCTTGAGGAAGATTAACTTTAAGGGCGACATGGACTGACAGATAAGGTTAAAGCGAAATGGCTAGATTGATCTACACAGTCGATGGGCTAAATAGCTGAGATAACAAGGTGTCGAGCTGGATGAACACAAGCAGCATCAGAGGAGCAGGAAAGCTGATGTTTCGGGCCTAGACCCTTCTTCAGAAATGGGGGAGGGAAAGGGGGTTCTGAAATAAATAGGGAGAGAGGGGAGGCGGATAGAAGGTGGATAGAGGAGAAGATTGGTGGAGAGGAGACAGACAGGTCAAAGAGGCGGGGATGGAGCCAGTAAAGGTGAGTGTAGGTGGGGAGTTAGGGAGGGGATAGGTCAGTCCAGGGAGGATGGACAGGTCAAGGGGGCGGGATGAGGTTAGTAGGTAGGAGATGGGGGTGCGGCTTGAGGTGGGAGGAGGGGATAGTTGGGAGGAAGAACAGGTTAGGGAGGCAGGGACGAGCTGGACTGGTTTTGGGATGCGGTAGGAGGAGGGGAGATTTTGAAGCTTGTGAAATCCACATTGATACCGTTGGGCTGCAGGGTTCCCAAGCGGAATATGAGTTGCTGTTCCTGCAACCTTCGGGTAGCATCGTTGTAGCACTGCAGGAGGCCCAGGATGGACATGTCGTCTGAGGAATGGGAGGGGGAGTTGAAATGGTTCGCGACTGGGAGGTGCAGTTGTTTAGTGCGAACCGAACGTAGGTGTTCCGCAAAGCGGTAAATAGCTTCCTGCTCTGTAATAAATTCTTTGACAGCGTTTGGAGATTTGTGTCTGTTTTGTTCACCGGTGGGACGTGGGCATCACTGGCGGGGCCAGCATTTGCTGCCTGTCTCTAGTTGCTTTTGAGAAGGTAGTCGTGAGCCACGGCAGTCCATGTGCTATAGGTTGATCCACAATGCGGTGGGGGAGGGGGTTGCAGAATTTCTGGATTTTAACCCAGCAACACTGAAGGAAGGGCGATATATTTCCAAGTCAGCATATTGAGTGGATTGGAAGGGAACTTGCAGATCGTGGTATTCCCAAGAATCTGCTGCCCTGCCCTTCTAGATGAAGTGGTTGTGTATTTGGAAGTTGCTGTCTAAGGATCATTGGACAATTTCTACAGTGCATCTTGCAGAAAGTAAAAACTATTGATGCTGGGCATTGGTGCGTGAAGTGTATTTATTTTAATAAATGTGAACTTCTTATAAATATGATGGCTCAATAACCCAGAGGCAAGTTTGATTTGTTTCAACAAGCAATTTATTTACATGATGCTTAATGATACATCCAAAAATTGGCAAAGGTCAGATATTAAGAGAAAAGCCTTGTTGTGCCTGAAATATCAGCAGGCATAAAGAAAATATCGATCACATTGTTCTCTGTATTGATTATAAATCTGAATATAATTTTGCTAACAGTTAAGTAATTTCAACAAACAGTAAAGAATTTATTCCAATATCTACAAATAGATTTTTAATTGCCTAGGAATGGAAATTCTAGGTAAATTTCCAAGTTGGCAGTAAGAGATATATACTTTTTTTTAAAAAATGTATGAAACTGACTTGAAAAGCTCATTATTTGTTCTCATAGCAAGTATTTGCACCATCAGTTTTCAATGAAATTTGTGTTAGAAATTACATCATTTCTTCAGAGTATATTTCATTTAAAATCAGCTCAAACTTTTCAACATTATCCCACAATCACAGTATGCAGAAGAAGGGTCCATTTGGCTCACTGTGCCTGTGCTGGCCTTTGAAAGAGGTGACATTTTAGTTAGGATCACAAAGGAATTGAGGCAAGGGTGTAATTCCCAACATCTGACTACAGACTCTGTTACACCAAGTTAATCTCACCTTTGATTTCTCTTAAAGGTGCCTGCCATCTTTCAAACAAAGATTGTCTTGCAGGACTTTTCTCCTCCCTTAGTGTGTAGATGTGAAGCAAAGACATTTGGTCAAGTAGAAATCTATTGCCAGGGACCCACTGACAATGAGAATGCCCCTTATCTCTGCTCTTTGGGAATTAATTGAAGTTTTTTTTTTGTCAATCAATTTTCTGCAAATACGGTGGCCTCTTTAGAAAATCAGGTTTCCTTTCTCTCTGCTCCCCCACAACCCCACCCCACCACCACCTAAAGAAGTGCCAATGGAAATGGAGGAAGAAAATTTCATTTATCTCATTGCTACTATGTCCACTGCAGCACAATGGCAAATTATCCAGTTTAAACATAGAGAATAGCTATAAGACAAGGCTATTTGGCCCTTCGAGCCTGCTGTACCATTTAATATAATCATGGCCAAAATTGCAGGACAATTTCATGGCAACATGGGTGCATAGTGCTCACAGATGTACCCAATTTCTCCTGTTCTGGATTGACAGCCTGTCTGCCTTCAAATCTTGTTTTCAGGGTTTCTCTCAGTGTCTTGTTCTTTGTCAAGGAATATCCAAGATGACAGAAGGAAGTAAGGGCAGGTAGATAGGGAGGTAGAATTAATGAGTTGTGTGATTTGTAGGGTTTTTTTTGTGTTCTATCAGTAGATGAATAATTTATATTGAGGTTCCATCCCCAACACTAACTTCATAATCTGCAATCTTCTACAGCAATCCTACATCACAATCTAGGAGGGGTCTCCTAACTTCCTTACATAGGTCTCCAATCTCTTGGAAATCAAATCTGTGGGGCTTCCCACCTTTCTCAGTCACATGCTTCACAACCGTACAACCCTCCAAACTATCCCCAGTCCGTCATCACACCCTATCACCAATGCCAAAACCCTCAAGCCCTCAGCTTGTGTCAACTGCTTCTGCTTGTAAACTGTCCCTCATACTTATGCCATGGGCTGTGACTCTCCTCTGGAGTGTCTCAGTGAAGGAAAATCAACTGAATAGCTGAACCGCTGCTGTGCATGATTAATGATGGGCAATTAGATATGTTCGTATGAAATCACAATGTCACCCATTTTAAGAAAAGGTGATGTATCTGTTAGGCTCTGTAAGATGGACCTAGAGGATACAGTAAGATTACTGCAAGGACACTGTAAGATACAGCATGTGGGAACTATACAATTTACGAAGTAGGTATAGTAAGGTGTACCACGTGAGTAATGTATGTGGACCATTTTGCCTGTAGGGTGTACTTAGTTGACATTAGGGTGTACCATTTTCTTACTGTAATGTGTACTATGTGAATATCAAGATATACCGTGTGAGTAAGGAAAACTGTAGG